CGCGCGCATGTTCGCGCTGTTCCAACGAAGCGCTTCCCCATATACATTTCACTGTCCCATGCGATGCGATTTCCCCGCCATCATCTCGTTGTTTGTGGTCGAGTTGCACGCGGCCCCGCGGCTGCTCAAGCGAGGCAGGATGATCGCACATGATTTGGCGGTCTCCGTTGGCTGGCTCGCCCCATGGGGCGCGGGCTGCAAAGGCGATGTCCCGCAGGATCTTAGATCGCGCTCATCGTTCGGTGCCTGCCGCTGGCATTGGGACACGCTTGGACGCCATTGTGGGCCGCGCGAATGGCAAGCGCAGGCAGGTCGTATATACCTCGAGAGATCCCTGCCAGACAGCTCACGGGTTCGAGGCTTGAGACTTCTGGTAAGACTCAACTGACGGCGTCGATTGACAGCATCGGTCGTGAATCCAACAAAAAATTGACAAAGTTCAGGATGCCCGTGGAAGTAGTTGATTCAACCGCTGACCTCGACACCGATGCCGCGCGGGGACGCGGCAGAGTTTATCACAAGATTGTTCAGAGGAGGATCTGTGCTTGTCGCAGTCAGGGCAGGATTATGGGCCTGCGGGATTGCCTCTTGGGGCCCGGGGCCCTCGTGGGGTGCTGTTGGAGGCCTCTAGGGCTGTCTTGGAGGTGTCCGGGGCCGTCGCGAGGCTATTGACAACGTATTTGAGTTTTGCTTCGGCAGTTCGGTGCTCTCTTGGACCACAGGGCTCTCTCTGACAGTGGGCCTGTGGGATTTACCCTCCGGCTGCTTTTCGACGCCGGCTGTTTGGGTCGTCAGGGGCCCAGGTTCTGGGGCGTAAAAGGGCTGCTGCGGCTGCTTTGGCTGGCGCCACCCAGGAGGAGGAGGAGGGGGAGGAGGAGGAGGAGGAGGCGGAGGAGGAGGAGGAGGAGGAGGAGGAGGAGGAGGAGGAAGAGGAAGAGGAGGGAGGAGGAGGAGGAGGAGGAGGAGGAGGAGGAGGAGGAGGGAGGGAGGAGGAGGAGGAGGGAGCAGGGGAGGAGAGGAGGAGGAGGAGGAGGAGGAGGGAGGAGGAGGAGGAGGAGGAGGAGGAGGAGGGGAGGAGTGTTGCCTCGCCTCTGTCCTCCAAGCGAACATGGGTGTAGCAGGCCCAGGCATTGATCCGTAAGGGCTTCGCCCCCTGCCGCCGGCCCCCTCTCTCGGAGAATGGGCCATGGAAAAGCGAAGTCATGAGGCTTTGGCTTCGCCGTGAAGCAGTGTCGGGATCTCTTTGTTTTACGACCCTGACCCTACGGATCTGCGTGAGGGGTGCCGCCGAATTTTAGAAATGTGGCAAATCCCTTGTGTTTTTGGACCCTGACCCTACGGATCTGCGTGAGGAGTTCCGCCGAATTTCAGAAATGTGGCAAATCCCATGTGTTTTTGCACCCTGACCCCGCCGATCTGCGTGAGGGGTGCCGCCGAATTTCAGAAATGTGGCAGATCCCTTGTGTTTTTGGACCCTGACCCCGCCGATCTGCGTGAGAGGTGCCACCGAATTTCAGAAATGTAGCAAATCCTTTGTGTTCTTGCGCCCTGACCCCGCCGATCTGCATGAGAAGTGCCACCGAATTTCAGAAGAGTTGCCAATCCTTTGTGTTTTTGCACCCTGACCCCGCCGATCTGCATGAGGGGTGCCACCGGATTCCAGAAATGCGGCAAATCCCATTTGTTTTTGGACCCTGACCCCGCCGAGCTGCGTGAGGGGTGCCGCCGAATTTCAGAAATGTGGCAGATCCCTTGTGTTGTTGCACCCTGACCCCGCCGATCTGCGTGAGGGGTGTCAGGAAGTTTGAACATGTGGCAGATCCCTGTGTTTTTGGACCCTGACCCCGCCCCGTGTGTTTTTGGACCCTGACCCCGCCGATCTGCGTGAGACCTCCACCGAATTTCAGAAATGTGGCAAATCCCATTTGTTTTTGGACCCTGACCCCGCCGAGCTGCGTGAGGGGCGCCAGCGAATTTCAGAAATGTGGCCAATCCCATTTGTTTTTGGACCCTGACCCCGCCGATCTGCGTGAGGGGTGTCAATTTTTACCCACCCCAGCAATTCAGACAATACGATATGGCCGTGGTAAAAATGCTCGTTTTGGGCCTCCCCCCTCGCGCAGTCCATCAACACGGAACAGCAAGCAGCAGGAAGTCAACAAGGAACAGTAAGCAGCAAGAAGCAGAACCGTAACAGTGGAAACTGGAAGCTGCAGCTGACACAGGAAACTGCGAACCGGCCTACAGCCTGGGGGCCGGCGGATTTGCGCATTCAAGTTCTGGAAGAATTGATGCCCCTTCGGCTTTCACAGCCGACCTTGCAAGCCAGGCATCGCGAAGCTTGGCGCAAGGCGAGGGCGCTCCTGCTGCGGCGTGCTAGCCAATCTTTTCGTTGACTGCCGCGGCCCGGGCCGCGTTGGCCCAGGCTGGTTGGGTGGGGGCCCCGCTCGGCCAAAGTCTGCATGCGCGTGGGCCCCGAAGGCCCTGGGGGGCGGGGGCTGCCTGAGTTCGGGGACTTTGGGTTTTCGGCTTCTGTCGCGGCCGATTCCAGTAATGCGCATGGGGGTTTCTCAAAGGGCGCGAGCTTGTCGCGTTGGAACAGGGCTTCCCAGCACGCGGCAGGCGACGACCACGTGCTGCTGAGTTCTGAGGAGCTCGATTTCTTTTGGCCAAGCGGGGAGAGATGGATTCGCGGCCCGCCAATTCGCCTGTGGTTGCGGGCGGCCACTGGCCGCAAGAGCGGCGGCGAAACGCATGATGCGATGGTCGCGACCTCTCCCCTCGTTGCCGCCGCGCGCCAGAATCTCCTCCACCGTGTTTGGGCTTGCGACGTCAACGCGGGCCACGCGGAGTTTTCGTCGACTTGTTCTCTCCCCCCGTAGGGCCTACGGGGGGAGAGAACAAGTCTGGCAACGGTTTTCGGTACTTAACTCGAGATTCGGGAAAGCTGAGCTGGTACTTTCAGAAACCGATTGAGAATCATCAGGCGCGTTCGTCTGTTGCATCCATAGGTCTAAACTCGGTTTGCTACTCGAGCTGCTGGCGCCTACGGCGTAGGCGCCAGCAGCTCGCGAGGCCGAGCCGGCGGAGTGCGACGACGTCGGCCAGGAAGTCCGCCTGGGGGAGGTCAGGCCTTCCGGCCAGCGGGCGGCCCTCGAGGGCGATGCGCCCCACGTCTCCGGGGGCGGATCGGGGGGGGGGCGACCCCGGACGGCGGAGGTGCGGAGCCGCCGCTGCGCGCGTGGCCTCAGGTGCCTGGCGCCCCTTTGCTCGGGCAGGCCATCTGCGGGGGGGGCGGCTGCGCCCTTTGCGCTTCGGGAGGCGCCGGGACGCGCCGCGTGCCGAGCCGCTCGCGTGCTGTCTGGCCTTGGAGCACGCGCGCGGGCCACTCGCCTGCGCGACCGACCGCAAGTCCCCTGTTTCTGCTTGGATCCTCGGCAGGGCCTGCCCCCCTATGGGGCATCAAGGGCGACCCCTGGGCGCGCGTTGGCTCGGCCACGAAGTCTAGAGGCCCCGCCGAGGTTCAAGCCATTCGGACGGAGTCCCACGCGGAGGAAGACCCCGCCAGGCTCAAGACCCAGTGGGAGGCGTTTCTTTGCCAGGGCAATGGGTGCGCGGACGTCTTGGCGGGGATGGCCGCTAAGTGGTCTCGGGATCCGATGGCGGCCCAGCCCCCCCTCCCCGCGCGCGCTGATCTGCATGGCGCCGCCGCGGCCATGGTCCGAAGGAGGGCGCGACGCGCTCTCATTTGTGCTTTGGGGCCTTCATTAAAGCTGTTGAAGCTGAGCCTTGGGCGGGCACCAGGCCGTCTAAAACGCGCCTCCCCCTAGGCCGGCCCTCGACAAGGCTCTCGACGCCAGTGATCACGCGTTCAGGCTTTTTGTCGGCAGATGGCGCTGCCAGTTGTGTAAGCAGCTTGCGCCTCGGTTTCAATTCCTGTCCGTGGCGGCGCAGGTGTGCCCGAAGGCTCTCGTCGCCGACGCTGGAGCGCCCTCGAGTTCGTCTGATCCCGAGTCTGTTTTCGAGGACAGTCCCTTATTTGAGCCGCTGCGGGGAGCTCAGACTGTTTGGGGCGCGAGGATCCATGCTTCGCGTCGGCTTCACCTGATAATCAGAGCGTGAACTACCTACCCCGCTTTCGCTTCCAGGCAAAACCAAGCCATACCACGCGCCTCCTCGTCAAGCGGCCTGACCAGTACATGCCGTAGTTTGGCATCGATTGGTATATCTTGGAAGCGAGGGTGGTCAAAAGCGAGGTAGGTTTGTTTGCCCCCTAGATAAAGGAGCTGTCTTTCGAGTTTTGGTCGGCGTGCCGTTTCAGTGCGGCTTCTGATGGGCGCCGTTTCGCCAGCGAGCGTGCTGGAGGGAAGGGCCCGACTAAGAAAGGCCACGAGAACCTGTTCAGGATCCGCAGGCGCATGTTCCTGCCCCACGGAGGCCCGCCTGCGGCCTTCGCGGCGGCGGCAGCGGAGTTGGCGGTCTTTGTGTCTCAGGCCCCTTGCGGGGCCTCTGGGCCATGCTTGGGGCCGCCGCCCGTCCGTGATTTATGCTGCTGTCTCGTCCGCGCCCGCGGCTCGCAACGTGGCCTCCTCCATGCAGCTGGCCAGCGGCGAGGACCCGCCACCGCGTTGCTGCCACTGCCGCCCTCTCCCGAGCCGCTGAAGGAGTGGCCCTTGCAGCTGTTGCGGCCTCTCTGCGGAAGGAGGGGGGCGCGGGCGTGTGGCAGCGGGGAGTGTGAGGACAATTGAGACACCAGTGACTGATCTTTTTGATCGTGCCACGCTGTGGCTTCCTGGCCGAGTCCAGCCGAATCCCCCCCCCTCCTCCCGCCCCCCCCCCTCCTCCCTCCCTCCCCCCCTTATTCCTCCTCCTCCTCCTCCTCCTCCTCCTCCTCCTCCTCCTCCTCCTCCCCTCCCCCTCCCCCTCGTCCTCCTCCCTCCTCATTGTCCTTCGCCGTCCCCCCCCTCGTCCAGTCTTTTTCGCGCGTGCTCCGACCTCAGGCCGCGAAGCGCGTCGCCTTCCACGGGGGCGACACCGAGGGGAGGACCGGCGCGGCCCGCCGCCACCTTCTCTGCTCTGCGCCGCCTTCGCTTCCTCGTGGCGGTCGTCGGCCGCTGCCGCCGCTGCTGCAGGCGTTTCGGGGTTGAAATGGTGGGGCCATGAGGGATGGAGCCCGAAGCACTGGAGTCGAGAGACCTACAGTGACACGAGCCCCGCGCAGAGTTTTCGCATCGGCGCTGGAGGCCCCCTTGGCAGCGGAGGCCGCGCGCCAGGGAAGTAGGTCCAGCGCCGATGCGAGCAATCCGCGCGGACCTCATGAGCGACGTAGAGCAGCACACGTTGGTTATGGCCATTGGTTCCCATTAGAAGAAACGTGTGATGCCCCGATGTGAAACATCACACGTTTTTATGACCATTGGCTGTCTTAAAAAACGTGTGATGGTTCATCCTGGAAAACAGGTTCGTCTTCACCGACACTGTCGCGCAAGTTGTCTTCGTAAGGTCGCGCGTAAACGCGTTCGTCTCCAATGTGGCATGCCGCGCTGGCGGTCTGCGTAAGCTGCGGCGTAAGGTCGCTATGTCATCTTGCGTAAGACCCGCTTCGTATTGTCGCCCTGATGGGGTCATGAGGGATGGGGCCTTCAGTATAGGAAGGGATCCAGCCCAGGCCGGACTGACGTATATTGTGTTAGGCCCCTCGTTCTCCAGGGCCCCATCCTTCATGGCCCCGTTTCTGAACCGCCGACAGTTGCTTGCCGACTTGCGTTTCAATTCAGCTCCAGACGTCGACCCTTCCTGCTGCTGCTGTTGCTGCTACTGTTGACGGTCATCCTCCTGCTCATCCTCCTTATGTTGCGTATCTTCGTTTGTTTTTTGTTGTTCCCCGTGCTGCACTTGCTCCTCCTCGATGTCGTTTTCCTCCCTCCCTCGTTCTGGCGGCCACGCTGCACCCCCGACGCCCAGGCTGCACCTGAGTGCGGATGTTGGGGTCGAGTAGCTCAGGAGCGCCCAGCTACATGAAGCAAGTCCCGCCACCATGCCAGCCCAGCACTTTGGGTGACGACTGTGCGAGGGAGCAAGGGAGTTCGTCACTTGTGACACCTCGTCTCTCCAGGCTGGGAAGAGCCGTGATGAGGACGATGATGGAGAGGATGATGATGCTGATGATGATGAACATAACGATACAGATGATGATGATGATGATGATGATGATGATGATGATGATCATGATGATGATGATGATGATGATGACGATGACGATGACGATGAGGATGATGCTGCTGATGATGCTCACGATGATGACGATGGTGACAATGGTGACTGAGATTGACGTCGATGTTGGTGGTGGTGATGCTGATGCTGATGCCGGTGCTTAAGCTGCTGATGATGCTGATGCGTCTGATGAGGAGGGTGAGGATGTAGATGATGAGACTGATGATGACGATGAGGACGATGATACTAATGATGAGGATGATGATGATGATGATGCTGATGCTGATGCTGATGCTGCTGATCATGATGATGATGATGATGATGATGATGATGATGGTAAAGATGATGACGATGGTGACAATGGTGATTGTGATTGATGTGGAGATGGTGGTGGTGGTGATGATGCTGATGCTGATGCTGATGCTGGTGCTTAAGCTGCTGATGATGCTGATACTTCTGATGAGGAGGGTGAGGATGTAGATGATGAGAATGATGATGAGGATGAGGACGATGCTACTACTACTGATGATGATGCTGATCATAGTGATGATTGAGATAATGGTGCTGGAACTCTTTTTGATGCTGATGCTGACGCCGATGGAGATGATAAGGATGATGATAATGATGATGCTGATGATGATGTTGATGCAGATGCTGCTGCGGATGATGATGAGCATGGTGATAACGTTGATGATGGTGGTGGTGGTGATGATGAGTACTGTGATGATGATGCTACTAATGGTGATGATGATGCTGATGCTGATGAAGCTGATTATGCTGATGATGATGACGATGATGACGATGATGATTTTGATGGTGATGATGATGCCGCTGATGATGAGGTGGAGAAGGAGAAGGTGGAGGGCGAGGATGAGGTTGATTGGGATAGTGAGGCTGCCTCTGAAGATGTTTAGTCGAAGTTCAGGGTCGTAGACGGCATCGAGCCTGGCATCCCTTCTTGATGAACGTGACCTTATTGAAGCTGGCTCGCTAAGATTCACCGTCTGGGTCTCGATGAGGTCCCCTCATAGAGCCACTTCCTCCCCATGTTGCGAAAGTATCGATCGTTCCACCTCCGACCCGTCGTTGGACAAAACAAGGGTCGCCTGCAATGCTCACGTAGGTTTGCACATGGTCCGTTCCAACAGTCAGCGCGCCTGTATTCCACATCTTCTGATGAGGCCCTGCTGGCAGCATCGTGAGTTAGGATAATGCAGTGCTTGGTGTTGGGGTCGTTGAGAGGTCTTTGTGTGCTGCCACTTGCTGTATTGTCCCAACAATGTCTGGCAGACACGTCCTCGTCGTCCCCGTCGGTACAGAAGCTTGTTGGCCTTGCTTCCCCTCATGGATTACAGAGTAAGTTTGCCAGGTGAATATGCTGCTGCTGCTCCCCCTTCCTCTCGATGCATTTCTGTTTCGCTAAGGCGTACGTCCTGGGGGCATTGGTGAGGCTCCTGTTCCCCCAGAAGTTAGAGCGATATGTTGGATGATCCGCAGCTTCCACATCCAACTGTATAAGGTAATCGGTTTTCATATATATATATATATATATATGGTAAGTGCCTGCCATCTGGTGTCGTGTCCCATGGATGCTGTGCTGGGGTCTACGATGTGGGTAGTCGCGTGGGTCATTGGTATGCCGGTCGTGATGATGACGATGCATTTGGGTCTGGTGCTTAATCGTCTTCATCTTCTGTAGCAATATCATACTCTCTGAAGGTTCTCCAGGCTTCATGCGGTTGTTGGGCTTCCAGCGGTTCCAGCGGTGGTAGTGCAGCTTCATTGTCGCATGGCACACTTCCTCATCCGAATCAGTCTGTTGGGGTCGTGATCCCACGATCCAATCGTTGTTAACGTAGTCCCAAGATGTCTGCTCAAAGATCAGATGCACATCTTCCTCCGTCGTCTCGATGAAGTGCAGTTGTTCTTGTTGATTGTACTCTGAGAAGTCAAGGTATTCGATGGAGCTCGTGAGCACTGTGTTCTCGCCTGACGGTGTCTAACCTGCGGTTTGGGTGCATTCTCGTACCAGGTGTTGTGTGGGGACCCGCATGTATGATACGTCATGACCTTGCCGTCTCGACCCTTGTCCAGAGGATCGCTGGCGATTTCGGAAGCCACTGCCTCGGTCTTCCCTGCGACCGCCGATTAATAGCTCCTCGTTGGCATCCTCATTGAGGTGGTAACGACGAAGGCGTGAATACCTCGTCCTGTAAGTTGTCGTCGGCCACCTTCTCCACTTCTGCCCTTGCCTTTTAAGCGTGCGCTTGATGAAGCGACGCGTACGCCGTACAGGTTTGTTTATATATCCCCTGCAGTTTCCATTATGATATTGTTTGGGATCGAGTAAGTCCTGCTCGTGTTGTGTCGCTGGGGCATCTGCCATGAAATCCCAAGTCTGGGACAAGATAGCGTCTGTGTCGGTACCACTGTCGCCCTCTTCTGTCGGGTTTCCCCACAAGGTGGCTGTTGGCGTAGCTGCTGGTCGCGTAGCCAGGCGGCCAAGCTTCCTTCAGCACCAGTGGTGTCTGAATGGTTATGGCGGCGAAGATCCAGGTATCGGCTGCAGGTACACCTGGTTTTGCGTGACCATCTGCCGGTGCGTCTCCGCCAGGCAGGTAAGTGTTCTCGGTCGTCAGGTGGATGTCGCTGCGGCCAGGTCCGTTCGTAAACCAGTTGATGTTACCAGGTACTCGTTCAACAGTGTGCCGTCGACGTCGGATGATTTCTAGTAGTTAGTCGCATTCCAGTTGGCTCCCGGGCATCATCCTGCTCAATGGCTGTAGTATGAAATTTCGTGCGGCGGTACACGTAGAGCTCGTATTAGAGTGGTGATAAAGAGCTAGAAGCTGTCCAATCTGAACCCAGCGTTTTCAGCCTCCAACCTGCTTACTTCCCAACGGGCCAGGATGCTGTCGATGCACGCATTGGGCATGACACGGAAGTCCATGACTTCGAGATTTTTTTGTAGTTGTGTTTCGTCTTCGAGGCTCTCGAGCCTCTGCGCTAGGTAGAAGAGGAAGTGTCCGTCCTGACACCGTTCGCCTCGGTGCCGAAGTTGATGACTCCTGATGGGACATGCATCGCTAGGCTGCGTTCGAGGCCTTGGATGCCCCGCTGTATGGCCGCAGCCTGCTGTGACGGCGTCAGTCTACCCGAGTGCACGCTCAACCAAGCGTGGACTTGATGTGGGTGCTGTCCGTGGTGGAGGAGCCAGTCGTGTGTCCACGCTCGGTTTCGTACTGTGGTGGGTCCGCCAATCGGTGCTCCTCGGTGTTGTAGAAGAGGATGTTCGTCACGTTGCAATGCTGTAGGCAAGGGCTGAACGCCGCGTTCCCGCGCTCGGAGGAGAGGTTGTACGTCGAATTGCTGCGCTCGAAGAAGCTACCTTCAAACAGAATGGCCCAATCATATGCGCTTGTGATTAATGCAGTTGTGAGCATCGTCTTCGGTGGAGCTCCCTATGGGGCCACGAAGCGTGGGAGGGGTGTGCCGAATCGGGCGCGGGCACGTCATGTGTACCCTGCCACTAGTGCGCTCGGTGGAGCCCCCTGTGGTGCCACGAAACATGCGAGGGGTGTGCCGAAGTCTGTGTGGGCACGCCATGCGAACGCAGCCACTGGGGCCTTCGGTTGAGCTCCGTATGGGGCCACACCGCGTGTGAGGGGTGCACCATTCGAACGCAGCCACTGGCAGCCACTGGGGCCTTCGGCGGGGCTTCCTATGGGGCACCGAAGCGTGTGAGGGGTGTGCCGGAACCAGGAGGGTGCGCCATGCGAACGCTTGCATTTGGGCCTTGGTTTGGGCTCCCTGTGGGGCCACGAAGCGTGT